CCCCAAAACCCCAAAACCCCAAAACCCCAAAACCCCATTAGGAAGATATCAAAGTCTTTTGAGTTATGATATCTCCTTAAAATAAGCAATTTAACTCTTTTAATTAATTATTAACAGTTTTCTATTGCTCAAAGTTACCATTCCCCAGCCATAAATCATCCATTGTATTCACAGTCTTGTTAGTATATCTCTCTCTTTCAATAGCTCTAGATTCGAACTCTTTCTTTACAATATCTCTACTTTTGAAATTAAGCTAATAGCTTCGTCTCTTTTTTTAGAGAGCTTTGTCCTCTGTATTTTTTAGGTTTGGCAAACTTAAAGGGGCCATCGAGTCTAAGTATTTGAATTAAGTGATTTTTTTAGAGTTTGGCTGTAGCCTTTTTGCTGAAAGCATCATGCTGACATAGTCCTATCTCACCCTAGGAGATACTGCTGCTGATTAATTCATATATTGCTCTTACTTTAATTCTTTTAGACTTTTAAGCTGGAGATGTTATCCTAAATTGATTATATAAATAAATGTTGCTTTTTACTTGCTGAATATGGCTCGTAAGTTTGATTACGATCTAGAGTTAGTCCCTCAGCTTCAAATAACTTATACATACTTTCAATCTTCTGAAGGTATTCACTACTGATATTAACTTAACCAGTGCTCAAATTAGCACTTGGCTTATAGCCGTATTGGGCATCAAGTTTTTGCAAGGTATCTGCTTTAAGGATACTTCTTTTATTTTTATAAAAGTTTTCATCTTAATCAGTTCTTTATCTGTGATAATTGATGTCGCTGCCTGCCTCTTTCGCCTGTTTATCTAAGTCATCCTCATATTAATGTTCAACATATCTCTAATAGAGCATTTCAGAAAGCTTTAATGATGGCAGAGACTTAACAGTCTTAATTCTCTTAATATTGCAAGCAAATTCTGATCCTCCACCGCTTTGCTTTTGACTTTACTTTATATCAGGGAACATCTGATCCTTTAGCCTCTTATGGATTATTTCCTAAAGGATAATTAAAATATTTAATATGTATGTTTACAGGTTCCTCTATATCCCTTTCAGCTTCTTCAACCACATCTGAGAGATCTCTTTTATCGAAATTAGAAGTAGGAGATTTGACTGCACTCCCCCCTTTGATCTCATTTTTAATCTTAAACTTTATTTTTTACTCATATGGAGAATTAAAAGATTTCATTATTGATGAAGTTTCGTCTGAGATTCTTGAACTGTCAGGGTTGATAGTGACTCTTGATCGCTCTGTCAGAAAAGGAAATTTTGTTTTTACCCTTATTTTTTACTTTTCTAACGGTGATTCGTTCTAAATTAAAGCAAGAAGTTTTGATGTGTAACCACTGTTACTATCGTTAGTGCTTTTAATGATACTGGAATCTAACATAATTAATTTTAATTATAACTCTTCCCAGTATATTATCATTCAGTTTTTAACTACAATCAAAGTTTATCATAAATTACTCTAAAACTTAATTAGTATTAAGTTTATAGTATTATCAAATATGAAGTCAAACAAAGACAAAGAAGTGCTAAAAAGTCAAGACTTATCTGACAGTGATGATGATATCAATCTTAATAATTAGGAGGAAGAGGAATTTGTTTCTTCAGATGACGAGTAAAAAGAAAGCTACTCTTTGCAAAGAGTTGAACCTAAATTGCCAAAAACTTTTCATGAGAAATAGAACATGCCAAGATTAATTCTTGTACTTGAATAGGCGTAAGAATATATTAGACATTATTATATATAACTAGTAACATTGAGACAACAAAGACAAAGAGAGGAATCGAACTTATTAACTGTGATGACCATTAAAAGCTCATAACTAAAATGAAGAAAAGTTATGAGGACTACAGACCTGATGTTACCCATTAAGTAATATAAAAAATTAAACTTTCTATAGTGTCTTTTGGCTTTATTAGACTCACCTCTTAACAAAGCAGGGCTACTTCAAGTCTACTTGAAGACAAATTTGAATGTTTTAGTTGAGGTTAATCCACAAATGAGGATTCCCAGAACTTACAAAAGATTTTTAGCAATGATGGCTCAATTATTAACGAAGATGAAAATTAAATCGACCTCTAGTAGCGTTACTCTGATGAAGGTTATTAAAAATCCAGTCACAGAACACTTCCCACTAGGAGTAAAAAAGATTGGTACTTCAACAAAAGGTAAACTATTAAATGTGAATGATTATGTGAAACAAATAATGAGTGGGGAGCAGAGAAAGAAGCCAATAGTGTTTGTGATTGGTGCAGTTTCAGTAGGAAATCCGGCAATGGAAGCAGACTACATAGATGAATGTATTTGCATGTCAAAGTACTCTCTAAGTGCTGCTGCATGCTGCAGTATGGTTTGTGATGCTTTTGAAGATCTTTGGGGAATTTAATGAATCTATTATCTTGATGACAAAGATTTTTCATTACAACTTTAATTAAGAACTGATATTTATTTTTAATTAAAAGTAATTTCATTATTTTATAAACTTTTTATTTAATATTTAGTTTGAAGGTTACTATAAGGGGTTTTGGGGTTTTGGGG